TTCATGTCTGTGTAAGACTGGTTTCAAAACCCTAAAAATGCTGCCAGCAGAAGCCCTGGGCAGAGCTGCAATATCTCTAACTGCTGAGCAGCCAAGGGGAGCACAGTGACACTGCAAGATTGGCTCTGGGAAGAGCTGGAGCCTACACCCCCAGAAAAACAGCTGAATGACAGATGCCAAGAAGGATGCGAGTATTTCCCTTTGTATAACACCAGACACCTCCTGAAGCATTATGTTATTAAGAAAATCATTCAGGTAGACAAGCATGACTCTTTCTTCCTCTTTGCTGTAAAGACGAACAAACATAAAGGATAAGAGCAGAGAGGAGCATTTTGTGTAGATAAAAGCAGCTTTATCTGCCTGGTTTTGTGAGGCACCACGCTTGGAGCTTAAATCCCTCTACTGCCAGCCTATCTTATCTATATGGTAATGCTGACCATTGTCCCTATGGGGTCCTCAGTATGGCTAGCAGGGGCTGGGGGAAGATCAGCAAGGATGCAGTTGCTGTCCTAAAGGCAAGCACCGGGCTGACAGTGTTCTGTCAATACTGGATGAGAGGGGCTGGACAGCTTCGTGCCAGGCACCCCAGGAACACATAACCACCATCAGCAACCTCAGAACAAGGCTGGCTGAGCATAGCCCTTGCCTCCAGGCAACTGCTTCCAGCTCCACTGGGCTCTCACAGATGCTCTTCCTCACAGCCCCTTCAATTGCTCCCGAGCTCTTTCTTTACACACATTTTGCTGCACTTCATCCCCTAAATGAGCGTAAGGGGTGAGGGGTAAGAGCAGATTATCCTCTCTGAGCAGATGCTCCAGATTTCCCTCAGCTGGCCTGAGACTCTCCTCCTCTCAAGAAACACACATCCTAAAGAGTTTAATTCACTAACCAAGTTGTGTAGTGGGGTTTTCTGTAATGAAACATTAAATACGAGCATGAAAATGTTTCTATGCACTGCACATACTAATAATAACAAGCACTCACTGGACATGACAGATCAGTGTAAGACTGCTGTGAGTTGAATGGCTCAGTCAGGGTAACCAGCACTTTTAGACTAAGTAGACTCAGTGTTCACAGAATAACTTCACAGCTATCCTTGAAGAATTCCTCCATCACTACCCTTAAGAAAATGGTACATCATTGCTATTAAAACCAAATCTTGTCTCCTGGGTTGATAAGCAGAAAAGAGGCATCAGTGTTGCCTCACGTTGCTGAAGATAGATATTTATCAGTGTATCTTTCCCTTAAGCAGTATGACAGGTAAAAAAAGACACTCATGATGCAGATCTAGAAGACTTTCTGAAATACTGTCAATTTAAGCAAGATCCCAATCCCATGATGCACTTCTGAGTCTCTGCTCCCAGAGAGCTTCAGTGACACTTTGGGACACCCAGGCAGGGTCCTGTGTGCGGCTGTTAGGTGTGGAACAGGACAGAAATCTGAACAAGGGAACACGTAACTGATCCAACTGGTCTGAGGCCAGGGAAATACTTGCAAGTGCACAGGGACTCTCTATCACATCCCTTGTGCTTGTAAAACATCATCTAGACACTATGATGATTTTGCCTCCGACGTCAGATGTGTCAGTAGAGCTACCCTAGTCTGCAGGGGTACTGTGTGCTGGTCATCTCCGCAGCCTCCAGTGGAAACTGTTCAGCTGAAATGCAGCAGCAGAGAACAAGTCTGCCCCAAACAGCTGTCTCTCCATGACTGTGAAGACCTCTCTACAAGAATTTGGTCCTTCCTTCCCCCATTCTGCTGAACACAGGTCACTTTTTAAAAATCTTGAGACGAGCAGATGCAACCTACTGCGCTCGTTTTACTCTGGCAGCAGGACAGTGGCTCATCTCATTGCCCGAGGACTCTGCCAGATGGCATCCGGCTATCACAGCACTCGCCACTCAGACTCCAGCCTGTCTATGCATGGCAGCAGAGCCAGGGAGCTGCTATGCCCACTCAGCCTCTGGCTGTCGTATTTTCACATTGTGAAGGTTATTAGCAGCAGAAGCAACTTAAAGCAGCTGTGAAGAGTTCAGCACTCAGTTTTCCAGTACCAGTTCAGAAGAACAGAGGTGCTGCATTAGACTGATTTAAACCTTTCTCTCGACTATCCAGAACTGCAGTTGACAACGCAGGGTATCTCTCACTACTCTCTCTACAGCAGGCATGTCTTTGTCATTGTCTAGGCTTTCCCCACATTTCATCTAAAATTGCCTACAGAAGTCTTTCAAATTTCATGGTGGATTGTAATAATTTAAATGAATATGCTCCTTTTGTTCAGAAAAATATACTGCTCAGTATAAATGCATCCCCAAGAATGGCTTAAAAAACAGCCAGACCACACCATCTTACTCATTATGCAAGCTGAGAAGCACAGGAAAGTGAAATTGCTGTCACTCCATTACTTCCACCACTTAAGCAGATAGAAGACAGACAGGAAGGTTATGCTTCTGTGAGCTTTTTCATTCATTGTTTTATGAAGCCCTAAGGCCTCACTTGCTCTGTAAGAACTTACTTAAGTGATGTGCCTATTTTTGTTAAGACACACGCTTTTTAAAATAAAGTGTAAACTCAAGCATACATACAGTAATGAGCCTAGGTGGCTGACTTGACATTCAGGCTGATCACCTGTGAAAAACGACAGTCATCATTTGGCCATTTTTTGGCTGGCAGAGGAAGAAAATAGTGTGAAGTTCAACTTGATTGACTTAATCTGGAGATGATGAATCCACAAAATAAAAGTAACACTAGTCAAATGCAGTGTAGAAGAGAGGGCAAGATCAGATTTTACAGCACTTTAAGAAGAGTCTGCAAATCCTAAAAAAGTGTTGGTTTGTTGGTTTGGTTTTGTTTTTTTAAAAAAGACTACATTTTCCAGCATTTACAGGTTGATAAAACTGTTCCTGTTGTACACAAGATTTATGATCATGATTTGTTGTACTGCAAAGCAAGTAATGGTGCAGGATGTGAGATTTCATTACCAAGAAATAAGATCAGGTATTTGCTGTGACTGAGACAGGTGAAAACAGATCTTTTACCTATAAAAGCTCAAATGTGCTCTGCATTCTGCAGTCTAGACAGACCACAGGTTTCTCATCAGTTCTTTCTGCTACAGTGGAGCACTTACTTTTAAATGAACTCTGTCCTGCTACCAAGCTGCGAAGCAGTATAAAAATGTACACTACATCTCCCATTAGCAAGATGATGCATTGCAGAGTATACACGACAGGAATCTTCAGGGAATACTCTGGGATTAGAAGTGAAATACTGCACAGATGGGATTGTTGGGTAAGGGAATTCCCTCTCCCCCATATAGGGCTCAGAACATTTAGAGCTTTTACATCAATAGACAAGATCAGGCCATTTCACCTTGTAAATATTTAAAGTACATGCAAAAAAATATGACGTACTCGAAAATCTGAAAAGACAGGACAGTTATAGAGATACAGATACTTGTGTTGCTCTTTTTTTTCCTCTTAGGTACCAAATATTCAGTAAACTTTTAGGGAAGCTGAAGAGGTATGCAAATATTTAAGGAGAAGGACAGAGTTCTCATGCAAATTGTTAGAAGCTAAAGATCAGGTCCCATTCCTCGCCTCCATACTAACCTCAGACTGAACCACAATTACTCTCTGGATACACTCACCCTCTCAACCATCAGCAGTTAAGATCTAGATATGCTCTCCAGCAGATTACTAGAGATACAGCACTGTCTGCTGTTGAAAAGCAGGTTACACAAGCTGTAAAGCCAATAAAGCTCCCAGACAAGTCTTGTGAGTGTTTATGGGAAGATACTGCACCTTTCCATCATAGCCTATCTACTCAGCATTGTCCACAGTGCTGCTTACTATACCCTTAGCCATCCTCAATGCTCTTTATTAGGCTCTCTTGTCGGCCTCCAATTTTCTTGAAGTATAACGCATACCAACAGGCAGTCTTCCAAGATAAGGCTCTGTCTAAGTTCACAGAAGTGAAGGAATCTTGTCAGGCATCTTCCATGCTTTGTTGCCACTGATACATCACAAGACGACAACTTCTTTGCAAAAGCATGCCACTGTATAGTCATCTCCAATTTCCACTCCAAAGCAAATGTTTCCAAGTCAGCTTATGGCCATAAAAGACCCGTAGTGTTATCATTTGGCAGATGACTGCTAGTTGGTGGTGTCTGCCCAGTTCCACGTGGATTCCCCCTACGCTCCACGGGCACAGAATATAGGACCATATTAAATGGTCTCCTACCACACAGCATTAATTTGCTTACATCTCTGAAAGTGTAGGTGGGGACCCCCAGGATGAACTGTCTAAATTTTGTGCCATCCATGTTTTCTACAGGAAGTCTACTCTTTTAAGACTAATAAAGAAAAGCTTCTGCTGCCTCTATCTTTCACAACCAAACTTCAGGCATCTCAGTGGTTAACCTGTAACTTTGACAAATACTATACTACATTTAAAAAAAACCAACCTTATGCTAAAACACATGTCCATGCAAACATTCACACACCATTTCTTTTTCTACAGTCTCTTTTGCACTAAGCACTTCAAAAATATTAATCCTTGCAAGCTTTCTGTGAAAAAGCATTAACATTTCCTTAATCAGATGGAGAAACCACAGATTAAAGAGAGGTAAAGTCAACTGCCCAAAAACAGAGTTGATGACAGTTTTAGACACCAATATCTTTTTTATGCTAAGCACATCTACGTTGAATCTGCAGAGAACAGACAATTGTATAATGCTTTTCAATCCACAGCTATGCACAAAATCCGTTTTCTCCTTGCAACAGAAGCAGCAAACACTACATGGAAAGAACAGTACTCCACAGCAAACGCACACACCTGATGACAAAGCGCAGAGTCTAAAAGGAGAGTGCTGTCTTTCCACATAGAGGTCTGATGGCACCTATCCCAAAAAATACAGGACTGTACACATTCAAACGAGTAAGCCAGACACACTCTGCCAGAGGAAAACTCATCCTTTCAAAATCCTTTGGTTTAAATCTTACCTTTCCACAAGCCACCATGGACAGGGCAAGCTGGTACCAGAGGTGAAATTCATCGAATGCAAACTTCATGGCTCTCTCTAAGCACTGAGAAATAAATGTTGGGAGAAATGTCAGATTTTTTTTTTTTAAAGTATCTTTTGTCAAGACTGCTGCTTGGCTCAGTAACCAAATCAGGGGACACAATACATTGTGGTCCAGGGCCCAAGTGATTTTTTTTTTTTTTTTTTTAATTACAAAATTTTCCTCTTCTCAGTTAACAGGTCCTGCTAGCATCACTTCAAATGAGGGACACTTTGTTCAGGTGCCTACATATAAGTTATCATAACATCTCAAACAGTTCTGTGAACATTTCTGGCCTGTGCTGCCACGTGTCTGTGGCTGTTTCTACTAACTGCCAACTAGTGTGCTTCATTTTCACCTTCCCTGCCCAGTTACTGCAAGGAGGGGCTTCGCTTGCACTTTTCCAGGGGAAGTTTCAGCAGAAGCCAGGAGGAGTTACCTCGGAAAGCATGACATACTGCCCTCTTCTGCCCAGCGTGATACTGAGGAGGTCATAGACGGCGGAAGCATCCCGGAGGCTGACAGCTCGGTCATCCTGCTGGTCGGGGGCTCTGCTGATCACCGCGTCCCGGTTCGCCTGGGCACAGACACAAATGGAACATCAGAGCCCAAAATGCGCAAGAGAGAACCGACCCCTCCATAGGAAGCACCATCCATCATCAGTGGCATTTTGTTTAAAATCAGCTCAAGATTATTTTTTTTTAAACTCATCCCAACAGAAGCAAGGTGTTTCCATAGAGTTATGTTTTATCCACAGGAAGCAAACTCAAGAAGATAGCTGTAGGTACAGAAAGGAACTGCTAGGAATACCTCATATAGACTTGTTTCACAGTATTACAGCATTAGGAAACAGACCTACTAGATCCCATTTCCTCAATAATTAGAAAATCAAGGCCATCCTTAAACCACATCCTTTATTACTTCAATTGCCTGCAACTGTGATAACTGCTTCCATGGTTAGTATTTTATCTTCTGTGTCTGCACTTGATTTCTTCCCAATGCATATGGTTTTGCTCTTCCTTTCTGCTATTCACTTTTTATTTTTTAATTTCAGCAGGTTGCCTTAGTAATCAGATTTGCCTGTCATCAATTTAATGTAATCAGAGGTCTGGGTAATGCAATACCAAATAATTTTTAAAAGAAAAAAAACAAAAAAAACTTGTGTTAATTTTGCATAATCTATCACTGCATTGCTCAGCCGAGATCAAAAAGAAACATTACTTTTGACAGAAAATGATCAGTCTAACAATTTGCAAGGATGCCCCAAAATACCATATGCTATAGACTCAGATTTAGCTCAAGATCTCAGCCTCTCTGTTTTCTGAGCACAAAGAAGGAAATTTCAATCCCAGAGCAAACAGAAAAGCCCCTCCGATTTCTGAACGCAGAGGACCTCACCCAGACTGCCTAACCTGCGAGAGGGGCAGGGCTGGATGCCACTGAGCACCTGCGCTTGCTGGCAGCACAGATACGCTGCCCTGAACTCCTCAGCTGAAAAGGTGCAACATCAGACGTTCGGGTCTAGACATCTGAAAGATCAGAAAAATTAGAAGACTGCCAACAGTTTCACCTGGGGCAAAGACAAAATATTCCCTCCCTGAAGCAGGGAAGTTATGAGATTTATTTTCTAATACTTACTACTATAATCTTACATTTATTTCTTTCTAATTGCAGGTAGATTTTTTTTCCTAAAAAGGTTAAACATGGGAATTAAGTGTAATAAAAATTTCCAGAATATGCAGCCCTTAAAGCCCACGCATATTTCATTATGATTAAACTACAGTTGTTTCATCATCATCATATTATCTGTGTAATGCCCCAGTTCCAAGCACTCTTTGTCACAGCCCCCAGCAAAGACAGCAAACACAATTACTGAAACTAACACCATCACAACCAAGAGCAAAATGGTGACTGCAGTTAAAGGCAAACTGACAGGTCAGACTCAGTCTACTGTTGGCACAAATAAACTTACATTGACTCTTGTAGCCAAAAAAGTATTTTTCTTTTTCATGTTACTGCAAAAGATATAATTCATTATTAAAAAAAAAAAAAAAATAGTTCAGAACAATAGGTTGCATGAAAGAATGAAACCAACTTCAAAGAGAAAAAACTGCAACCAGAGTACAGAAGCATGGCTCTTCTACCTTTAGTAGCAGAACTAAACAAGTAAGAATAAAAAAAATAAATATATGTTTAAGCTCTGTTTGGATTTAGCCCAAGACTGATACTTTAAAAGTAAAAAATGAGTTAAAGTAAAGGCATATACAGAACAATTCTGAGATTGCTACTTCAGAGAGTTAAAGACAAAGCACATACAGAACAATCCTTATTGCCAAGTGGATCCTCCTACATATATACAACAGCATTAACATTTTTTTTTCTGCACTGGTTACATTGTTATGACAGTTTGTAGAAAATAGCTACTGAGATAGCACCCCCATACCCTGTAATCTCATCAGCAACCTCCTATTAGAGCCAGATATAGCCTGGTGCTTTTTTGGGCATCCACCTAGTACCAAGCTATGATTTTTAAGTGGATGCATTAGCACAGATAGAAAATTAATCAGAACTGGTGAGTGCCCATTCATGTCTGCTAACAGATAGTGGTACTAGAGGGAAGAGCATGCCCAAATCCTGCAATAAGCAGGAAGATGAGACATATTACAAGGATGCAACATTCTAAAATTGCAGTCATACTGAACATATCGTACATACCGTACTTTACCTAAGCAGACAGCAGTTAAAAACAACATATGCACAGGCACGACTAATATTCTTTCCAAGGTCATAAACCCACTTATTTTGTTCAAGCTTTCCAATCTCAAAGCCATAGAAGGTCTCTGCAATCTATCACTCTCTATACTTGCATGCATAAAAGTATAACACTGAGCAAATTCCACTGTCACTTCTATCCCAAATTTTTTTTTTAATACTGAACCTATTTCCAATTGCTAATTGCAGTTGCTCAAAAAAAATCAAGGAGTTCCTGAATTATTACAGAGATATAAAAAAAAAAACCTCAAAAGATGCAAACCTCCTAACAAACTGACTGAACAGTACCAAGAACATGGAGTGTATTTAACACAGTATCATCCCAAGCCTCCAGGTATCATTTATTACTGCAGTGTTACATACAGGAGGGCAGAGAAGGGAGTGTGAATCCCTATTTCTTGAAACTCACTCAGGAGAACTGGCATGTTTCTGTGGCCTGCCTCTCACAGAAAGGTGCTGTGACCCAGATCACCATTAGCCAATTGTTTTGTCTTTACTTTTGTTTATGTTCTTCTAAACTTTGCTTTGGCAGTGAGAAATCCTGACAGTCACTGGTTAATTACAGGTGCAAAATACATCTGTAGTTACTGCAACATGGCATACACCAATTGTGTTGGATGGGGAATTGTACTTACTGAAACATATACACACAGAGAGATACTTCATTTTGCATTTGAGCATAAATTAAGCCATTTACACCAACATTTCTTTCAGTCCACTAATTTTCCTGATCACAAATGGAAAAGGGGTTATTTGTAGAACACTGATCTCCAAACAGTGTATCAATAACATAAGCAGCAATTCCCAATTTGTCCTACTGCATTACTTCCTCCTTCTCCATTATAAGCATCAGTAAGACACAGCTACAAATATATTTTCAAGCCCCCAGCATGACTCTTCCCTTTAAGCTGTTCCTCTTGTCACACAGACATGCCTCACAGCACACAAGCGTGATGGAGAGAGATGGTGAGTCATACGGTTAAATGAAGAGAACATCTGTACAAGGCTGTTGTGTGGGATGGAGAAGGTCACTAATGCTACCAAACAGGAATTTCATCATCAGGAGTTAGTATAACTTGCATTATACAGATCAAAAATATACAGTCAATGCTCCTTTGTTTGAGGTGCTTCTAGGTAATGGAGCAACCCAGAGATGCATCGCATTTGCATATTTTGGGCTGCATTAGACACAATTAGCTGTGCATACAGGTGGTTCAGACATGGGGAGATAAGACACATCCTGTAGTCAGCCCAGACGGAGCAGCACAGAGAACAGCGAGTACCTTCAGCCCTCCCTTTCTGCAGCCCAGGGACACAGTCTGCCTGAAGGCCACACACATCCAGAACGCTGCAGCACAGGCTGGTACTCCCAAGGCGACCCAGCATTCAGCCACATTGATGTCTCCATATCATGCTTGAAGCCCAACTCAGTGTTGGACCTGATCAGACACAGAACTGGCTGGGGTTCAGCATGGCTCTTTAGGTCCAGCTTCAAACCACAGCAATACAACAGCATGGGACTTTCAGACCCATGCTGGTCCTGATGGCAGAGCAATGAAGCTGGTGAGGGGTCTGGAGCACATGTCTTATGAGGAGCAGCTGAGGGAACTGGGATTGTTCAGCCCAGAGAAAAGGAGGCTGAGGGGAGACCTTCTGGCTCTCTACAACTACCTGAAAAGAGGGTGTAGAGAGGTGGGGGTCGGTCTCTTATCGCAAGTAACAAGATGAGAGGAAACAGCCTCAAGTTGCGCCAAGGGAACTTTAGATTGGATATTAGGAAGGATTTCTTTACTGAAAGGGTTATCAGGCATTGGAACGAGTTGCCCAGGGCAGTGGTGGAGTCCCCATCCCTGGAGGTATTTTAGAGTCACCTAGACATAGCACTTAGGGACACGGTTTAGGGGACTTGTCAGTGTGAGGTTAACGATTGGACTTGATGGTCTTATACATCTTTTTCCAATTGAGCCAATCCAGTGATTATGTGAGATCTGCATTTCTGGGGATCTGCAATTTAACTAACAACCCTGCTGAGCTACAGGCAGCTTGTGCCTTCCTATCCACATATACAGTATACTTACCTGCAAACTAGATAAGCCACCTATACACGGAAGATTTGCTGTACATCAACGACCCTGATAATCACAGCTTACTTACGGCACGTTTATTACATGCAGAAAGGAAAAGAGGCACAGCAAATCCAAACAGCCATTACTTCAGCAGTTATTACGCACGCAGTTACACTGCAGAAAATTAAATTTTACCCCAGTACAAAGATGTGCTTCTTAATAAAACGTCAAGCAATCATATGAATTACAATAGAGCATATTCCATGCAGCAGTCCCTTCTCACAGTAATTAGCTACCACGTATCCTTTAATTGCTCACTTTGAAACATGTCTCCCTCTGCTTTTTTTCAAAGAAGAAAACGAAAGCAATTAAAATCTTTAATGAGTGCCTGCTGCCTAATTCATGGGCATTCTAATGTTCAACTTGTGTCTTTGCATAATAGACATAATTGCCAGATCCACTGCAACCCATCTATACAGAACGGCAGCATGTTTTACACAGTGTACTGTAATAATGTAATTGGTGTGATTCAATACTAGCATTAAGAGAGAAAAACAAATGCTATGTGTGTAAGATTGACAACAAGCCTTTGAAATCATGCAACTGATGCCTCTACTGCTAAGAGCTTGGAAATATTTAGTCCATGTCCTTTGGATCTCCATTCTGGCTGGTTTGCCTGTACTGACAACAAAACAAATGAACTCTTTGCAACGGCAAGGACCCATTCACATGGAAAAGG